ATTGGACAACACACTAAGGACAGATCCCACATGAGAAGTAAGTACACAGTGACTGGTGTTGTTGACTTAACAGTTTGACACTCTTGTTTATGGTGTCAGTAATCTCCCTAGGCTCTAGTCACGAGTTGCCAAGGCTATAGAAGCCCTATGAGTTCACCGACTTTGATCTTATTCAGACAGGGTCATAGTCAAAGTGGAAGTTCTCTCCTCCCTTCAGAGAAAGGTACCTCCTTCTTTGATGGCCCTGTTCTTTCCACTGAGATCACTCGCAGAGATCTTCCATTTAGGTCTTCTTTTTTTTTAGTTGTCGCCAATCAGGGAGAACATATGATATTTGTCCCTTTGGGACTGGCTTAATTCACTCAGCATAATGTTTTCCAGATTCCTCCACCTTGTTGCAAATGACCGGATTTCGTTGTTTTTGACTGCTGTATAGTATTCTATAGAGTACATATTCTATAATTTCTTTATCCAGTCTACTGTTAATGGGCATTTGGATTGGTTCCAGGTCTTAGCTCTTGTGAATTGAGCTGCAATAAACATTAAGGTGCAGACAGCTTGTTTGTTGGCCAATTTCATTTCCTTTGGGTAAATTCCAAGGAGTGGTATGGCTGGGTTGAATGGTAGGGGTATATTCACGTTTCTGAGGAATCTCCAGACTGACTTCCATAGTGGCTTAACCAATTTGCATTCCCACCAACAGTGGGTTAGTGTCCCTTTTTGCCCACATCCTCTCCAGCATCTGTTGTTGGTAGACAAACCCGGGAAATTTTCTGCTAGTATCTCACTAAAAAGGACTTCTAATCCTTTCTCCCTCTCCATGCCTTCAGGAACTCCTAAAACCTGAATGTTGGGTTTTTTAATAGTATCCTGTAGATTCCCGACAATATTTTTTTGATTTCTAAATTCTTCTTCTTTTCTTCGGTTTGACTGTATACCATCCTGTTCTCTGTCTTCTATGTCCGATATTCTCTCTTCTGCTTCACTCATTCTGTTAAGGCTCTCTAATGTGTTTGTCATTTGATCTATTGAATTCTTCATTTCATTATGATTTCTCTCCATTATCACAGTTTCATGTTCTAAGTTGCTTCATTTTATTTTGATTCCTCCTTAATACTTCATTTTCCCGAGATTTTCTATCCTGTCCAGTAAGGATTTCCGTACTTCAAGAATTTGTTCTTGAGAACTTCTTAATGTTCTTATCAATTTTTTGATATCTGCTTCTTGCATTTCTTCTATCTCATCATCTTCATAATCTTGAATTTGGGTGTCTTGTTCATTTGGGGGCGTCATAGTGTCTTCCTTGTTATTGTTTCCTCGGTTTCTGCATTTGTTTGGCATTGTGGAGATATTCTTTGGTTTCTTCGCTGTAGTGGTTTTTCTCGATATACTATATATCTAGATCAAGTGGACTGTCTGCTTTTGATGGATCCTTAGAGGCTGTGATGGGTGTGGCCAGAGAGCTCTGATTGGGTCTTCAGGGTTAAAGGTGTGCCAAAGGTGATTCACCCAGGTTGTTCTCTCTCTCGCTTGCTCTTTTTTTTTTTTTTTTTTTTTTGACTCAGAAGGGAAGTAATTCCACACAGCTGAGTGGAATTGAGGGTACTCAATGTATGAAATCCGGCCCCTGTGGGTATTCATCTGCTGTACCCCAAGGATCACACAAAGGGTCTATGCAGCCTTCAGTGTGGTCTCAAATTTTTCTGCAGTCTCCCACCAAGTTGCCACGGTTACCAAGTTTGTGTACTCCATGAGTTTTGTTGCCCACTCTCAGATTTTCACAGTCTCAGTTCATTAGCTCCACACCTTCACTAGGTCCTAACCTCCTGTAATTTCTCCCCACCAGAGTCAGGTTTTTCTGCTTGGCTGATGGCAGGCGGTGCTTTACCTATGTCCAAAATGGCACCTGCTCTTTGTCTTTGTCTTGCTCAGCTTTGTAAGGTGAGTGGAGAGAGAGGCTCACGACCATGCCAGTTCCCCTTATTTACTCATTTTTTCCTCTCCTCCAGTCAGCCTGGTGAACTTTCTCCAGTGGGGCTTCAAGCCTTGTTCCCTCTATGCTCTTTCTGTTGTTTCCCCACCAATGTCTTCGGTTACCGAGATTTTTGTCTCACCTCCCCTTCCAGCACTGGTGCTCAGACTCTGCCACTGGGCTTCCACCGTGGGCATCCTTGCTCTCCCCGTAGGTCCTCCATGTCACATACACTAGATCCAGAAGAGTTTCCACTGCAATTTTTTCCCGAGCCTTTCCCTGAGACTACAGCAACTCCACTTGTATTAAACTATTTTTTCCCAAACTATAAGTGCGCGCCCTCAATATTCCGCCATCGTGGATCTGCCCCTATTTTTTTTTATATATTCATTTGACAGGTAGAGTATTAGACAGTGAGAGAGACAGCGAGCAAGGTCTTCCTCCCACTGGTTCACTCCCCAAGTGGCCGCCATGGCCAGCGCTGCGCCGATCCGAAGCCAGGAGCCAAGTGCTTCCTCCTGGTCTCCCATGTGGGTGCAGGGGCCCAAGGACTTGGGCCATCCTCCACTGCCTTTCTGGGCCACAGCAGAGAGCTGGACTGGGAGAGAAGCAACTGGGACTAGAACCCGGCACCCCTATGGGATGCTGGTGCCACAGGCAGAGGATTAACCAAGTGAGCCATGGCACCAGCCCCGTCAGTGATATTTCTTAGTATTTCCTTAAGTCAGGCCCTGCGTTGCCTGACAAAAGAGAAAACAGAGACAAAATTGCTCTCTTGCAGAACATGCAAGACCTGTGGAAGCAGTGTGTTGAGATTAAGTGGGCTACATCTCAGCTGCATATGCCCGATTAACGGGAACTGTAATTATTACATTATTATTTATTTATTTACATTATTTATTTATAAATATTTATTACATTATTATTATTACAATATTACCTTATTTTTATTATTTATTACAGCCTCAGGAAACAGGAAGGCAGCCTCCTCATGGAGAACAGTTCATTGCACCTCCAGGTCACATTCACTTGATGCAGTTTACATTTCACACCCTGCCTGACCTCCTTCTTTACTGAATGGTAATGAATGCAGGAACTCGGGTCATGAATGAGCACAGGCAACACAGCTGCCCCTCAACCTGCGCATCTGCCACACTGCTGAGTGGCCCTAGTGTGCTCTTACATGGCCAAAAATCAGGAGGGAGGCAGGTTATTTGCTAAGGGACCAAGACCTGGCTCTTCCATCTCCCTAGGAAGTTTATCATGGGAGTAACGGAAGGAGCATCACTCAGCACAGTGACAATGACAAAGTCTACTTGGCTTTTCCTGTGGGACACTCCCACTGGGACCCAAACTTTATTCCCAGAGAACTTCAATAGGTTTATAATCTTTGGTTAATAAACAGCGAAACCGAAATCTATCCATATTTTTAGAAATTGTTGAGAGAAATTTTTTTTGCAGCAAACTGGAACAAGGTTCTTAAACATCTAAATGTTTTTCTTAAAATATGACTCAGTAAAAAAATTGTGAAACTTTGTACACATTTATTGTCCTTTTACTGAAAACGTTTCATTAAGATCATTTGTGTCTTCAATGAGGAATGAGAACTCTGGACCATACACTAATTTCATGCCTGCAGATGCTTTGAATATATCCTAAAGAAATCAATAATTTTGTATTGTCTATTATGCTGGCTCAGACACTATTTATCAAAATTATTTTTAAAAATAGTTTCTTCCTAACAACTTCTTTCAGTGATAAGTTGTACCATGTTCTGTTGTCACCCCTGCCAGCTTATTGGTGTCGATTTATTTTAATCATAAATTCCAACATGGGTTCCCAGTGTCCATAGGGGAAAAATCATAGAGCCAGACACTCTGCCTATTACCTGAGATTCTGTTTGGACCCACGGGAGGCACAGCTGTCTGTACCTGGTGCACAACCCTGCACCTGCACCAGGCCGTGCAAGGTACAGATCAGGATTTCCTAAGAGCCCCTGACAGGATACAGGAAAGGGAGAGAATACAGTGGCTTCTGTCATTCTGCTTGGGAAAGGAGAGCTCTGTTCCCACTGAGGTGTCCTGCTTAGACTCCCTCCCTTCTCCAGAAAAGAGCAAACACCAAAAACCAGAGGAAGTGGTAGGTAACTCAGCATCCAGACACCCCCACAGAAGCTCATCCCTCCTCTTCAGCTTGGAGTTCAGAGTCTGGGAACAGCCCTATATGCACCCACAATATCTGTGGCACAGGATAGAGCTAGGGTGCTCTTTCTCCTACAGGGTGCTGTGGAGGAGGGCTCAGGATGGCTACCTTTCAGAGGATGGGCATGAGGACAGAAGGAAGGACAAAGGGTTTGCACAGCTGTGTAGGCTCCATTTGCACTCCCTTTGTAAATCCTATACAGTCCTTCTATTCACATCTACTGAGCTCGGGCTCTGGTCACCTTGACCTTCAAGAGACATGAGAATGACATCCTATCAGTCTCATGAATCGCTTGCCAGTCAGACTGATTCTCTGATCCTGAGGCTGTGCAAAATGTAGGCAAAGTAAATCCCAACAAAAGCACCACATTACCTTGAACCAGCCTGTGACCTTGGACCAGTCACCTCCTTTCTCTGACACAGAATTCTGTCAGCAGACAAAAGGGCGTGGGTGACTTGTATGAATCTGAGGCACCAGCATGTCACCTTGCTCTCTTCTGGGTCCACCTGCAGTTGTCACAACACCTCAGTTTCTCCCTGTGGGAGTAATGCATGGCCGCAGTCCATGTGGCTAACTATTGCTCAACGACAACTGTCTGCGGCAGAGAGGGCTTCATGGGATGCACCTGGAGGAATCTTGGTGCCCAGCACCAAGACTCTGCACTGTGGAGGAGGTCCCTGCTTTCCAGGGCAAAGACAGACCCTGTGTGCATGTTGGTCCATGTTCACCAGCCCAGCTCCACCCAGGTCCTCCAAGGGGAGGTCCTCCCTGTGCCCCAAAATTTCCAACATTCCCCCTTCAGCTGTGGTGAGCTTTGAGCACTCACCTTGTTTCCAGCAAAGTCAGTCCTGGGGTCCAACTGAGAAAGACCATCCTGGCTCCTGCCCTCCAGAAGCTCATAGTCTGCAAGGAGAGGGAGACAAAATCTTCAAAATAAAAATAGCAGGAATCAAAGAGCAAGTGCTGTAACATACTCAGTGAAGGTTCTGCAAGAGTGCTGAGCCACTTCATGGGAGATCTGAAAGGTCTACACTTAGGGACAGTTATGCTGGGGCAGACGAGAAGAGGAGCCCGCTCTGCACAACACTGACAGCAGTGTGCTGGGGAGGCTCCACTGTGTAGATTCCAGTGCAGAAGTGAGTTTGCCCAGAGAGGAGGTTAGGAAGGTGGCCAGTGGGACTGAGAGCTTGGACGGGGAGGAGGAGAGGATGGAGTAGAGCCAAACCTGACTCTGGAGCAGGTGCACTGCCCTCAGAAACCATGAACTCAACTGTGTTCATTTACGACAACTGTGATGATCTCATGCTTTCACTGCCCCACAAGTCCAGTGATACTCACCTCAAGGCTTCTGCCACAGAGGCTCTCAGGAGTAGGGGCTGTGGCCTCAACAGAAGCTCAAATAGGGAAGGATTTAGGGGGACTGGCAGGATTTAGTGTGGACTGAGCACAGAGTTCCCCACTCTGCTTCCTTGCGAGGACTGAGACACACAGCTTACCCAAAGGCAGCAGATATCCTAGCGACCCATCTCTAATGACAGGAGACTAACAGATGGTGGGCAGAAAGACGGAGGAGGAGGAGGATAAAGGAGAGGAGGGGAAAGACAAAGAGGAGGGGAGGAGAGAGAAGGAATGAACTGAGAAGAAAAAGGCTTTACTCTCAGTCCTTTCACATCTAAATCTCGCAGATGACATTTCGTCCTATCGACTAGAAGAGAGTCCCTAGTCGAGTACACACTTCAAGACAGGGGACTACATGGGAAATTGCACCTGGATGTGAAGGTAGCTGGGAGCAGCTAGAAGTCTGCCCACCATGCCAGAGTTTTGGTGGCCTGGGTTGAGCCATCAATTTCACTGCATGCATCCCAAATACAAAACTGGTTTGAATCCTGATTAGCTGCCTCTGATTCAGCTTCCTGCTCATGTGCCTAGGAAGGCAGCAGAAGGTGGTCCAAGTGCTTGGATCCCTGCCAACCACATGGGAGTCCCAGATGAGGGCCCTGGCTCCTGCCTTCAGCCTGATTTGATCAATTTCAAGCCACTCATGATACAGACAAATGATGCAAAGGAAGAAGGTGGATAATGCCAAGCTCACATAACAGGAATCAGGTCTGCTTTTCAGTTCTACAAGATATTTTGAAATCATCAGACAACAAGGGGATTGGTGAATCATGTGCACTCCCCACGAATGAGTCAAAGACCCTGTATCCCATGTGATCTGACACCCTCTTCTGTATTTAGCTCTACTTTTTGCATTGGGTACATAGGACACCAGCCATAGGCTCACTCAGTATTGTCACTTCTTGTATACCTGATGACACCCCTAGAGTAGATTCTAGAATGATCCTACAATGCTGCTGCTGAGACTGGGGGTGTCCCAAGGGGCACAGTAACCAATTCAGGGTTCCACCCTGGTCAAAGTCAGGAAATCTGGAAATAAGGTTCCATGTGTCTGCCACTGTGGTAGCAGCCAGGAAGTCCATAGGTCCTGCTCAAAGGGGGCACTGGTGTCACTGTGTAGAGAAACAGAGACAGCATGGGACAGCAGGGTGGGAATACATTCAATCCCAGCATGGTTTGGGGACTTCAGATGGGAGAAGAGGGGTGAGATAAGGAAGCCCCAACTGTCACCACGCCACTTAGCAACAGGTCACAACAGATCCTGTAATCCCGGTAACCAGGCACGAACATTCTAGAGAGAGGTTCCTGCCCAGCTCATTTGGTGAGAGACGCTTGACAGAACAAGATGTTCTCTTGCTGTGTTCCCATTTCTCGAGGCCGTGGCCCGAGAAACCCGCGTGATGAGGGGTTGTGGCAGCGATTCCAACGTTGGTTCTCGCCTCACCCCCACCACACCCAGCCTTGTAGCACACGGCAACCACAGGTAACTCAGGACCACCCAGGATAAAGCTGTTCAGGCCAAGACTTCATGGCAAAAGCACCTGGGCTGCCCCAAAACACCTTTATTGGGGAGGGGGAAATAGTATGTGAGGGGAGGGCCTATCATGTTGTAGCTGGTGGTCAGGCTGGGAGGCCTTAACCTGGTGGTGCTGTCATCTTCACAACTCAGGTCATGGCTGGCAGGGTGGGAAGAAATCCTCTGGGCACTCATAGCTGCCTAGATGTTATTTCACATCCCGCATGCCAGCACATTCATCCTCTAGGGGGTTTTCTGTGATGCAAGGTCCATGTGGTCAGGAGAAGAGGAGGTCCCGAGGGGCAGAAACAGAGGGAAAGGGACCAGGCAGGGCCCTGATGCTTGCTCTGCACCTGCCGGGCACTGTCTTTCCAGAGCTCCAAGCACAACAGAGGTCAGAAGTTGCTGAACAAGGTCCTGTACTCCATCTCCCGCATGGAGAGACAGGAGGCCAACAGAGGCCGCTGTTGGCCCAGGGTGAGTAGGAGTGCAGAGGGGGTTCCACATCCTGGCCCCGATGCCACCTGCTTCTTGAGGGTCTTAGATGGGTGTTCGGTGGGGTAGGCAGAGCGCCATCAGTGTGATGCAGGACAAGAATCAGTGATGGCTTTGGCATTGGTTTGAATTCCAGCTCCTACATTTCTGGTGGCTCCTGGAGCTTGCACTGACTGTGTGTCCCTCCTTTCTCCTAACCTAGGTGAAAAAGCCATCTAAACTGATCGAGTATGATGCCCACGTTGGGTGGAGGGCCCAGGAAGACACGTTGCAGAAGCTGGTGGACCGCCTGGTGCCTGCCTTCCTTGGCTTTGAGCCCTTATATGTTCCCACCTTCCTGAGAACCTACAGAGCTTTTGCCACCACTGGGCAGGTGCTGAACGCACTGTTAGGAAGGTCAGTCTCCCAAATCTGCAGGCCACCTCAACCTGTGAGTCTTGGCAAGGTCACCCCACCTTCTCCTTATTTTCCCCTCCCTGAAAGGAAGTTCTTGCTTTAGCATTTTATGATTCTCTGAAATTGAGCTGAATGGTTCAATAATTTTTTTTACATATTCCTTTGAGAGAGGGACAAGGAGTAAAAATTCTTCCATCTGCTGTTCCTCTATAGAATTTCCCTGAAGAGATGAGCTAAGAGAGACTGTAGTCAAAAACCAAGAACTCAATACAGACCTCCTACATGGGTGATAGGGACCCCAGGATTGAGTCATATCCTGTCCCCATGGTGCACATTCACAGTGCACTAGATTGAAATTGGAATGAGGACTCCAACCCAGCAGCTTGGATATGGGAAGGGAGTATTTCTAGGGACATACCACTGCATCAAATGTCCATGCAAAGTTAAACTGTTTCCTTATTTGTTGAGCTGGGTCCAGATTCTGGGTTGAACCAGACCAAGGATATGTGATGAGAGCCAGAGGAGTGCAGACCTTCAGCTTCCTTTGAAACAAGCTGGTTGGAGTTTCCTCCTGCCATGGTGGACATGAAGTCACACGATCAGCAGGACCTTTCTAGGCAGTGACCTTGATCCAAAGCCCAGGACACGCGCCAGTCCCTGTTGGACTTCCCTTCTTGGTAGACCCAGACACGCTCACTGACAGGGGGTGCCAACCATGGGGCCGATGTGATACCGTCCTTGCCTCCTCTAGGTTCCCATGGTTCTCTCCTACTGCTGAAGGTGTACTCCAGGACGCAGTCAAACAGTGAGTGGGTGTGGTGGAAGTGGAGGGACCCAGTTTTTAACAACATTGTGCTGGAAGTGTGGGGACTGTGCGTTGCATGCAACTAGAAGGAGCCTTGGATCTGAACCTCCTGTGATGTTCTTGCAGAGATGAGGTCTGTGTGGTGCCCTGTACAAATGAACCAACCAGAGAGCTGGGACTGGGCCACAGGCACTGTGGGGCAGAGAGGGGTAGTGGGAGGACAAGATAAAGCCCTGAGGGAATCCAGCACCACCACCTCTCATCCAAACCTGCTTTCACCATCAGTCCAAACTGGGACCCAGAGTCGGAGTGGGGGCATCCTGCTCACAAATATGGCTGCAGTCCCACAGTGAGGCATGATGGGTGCTCAGAGGTTGCAGCCAGTGCCCAGGGGTCAGGCACCTCAGGAGATGAGCAGCACTGGGAAGAGCAGACCCATTCACTGTGCTGTCAGCACTACCACTTGAGGATAGTAGCACAGGCCTCAGAAGCCTGGGACAGAGGTTGCACTCCTTGCTTCCTCCTGCTTCAGTTACTTAGGTAGCACCTACTGAGTGCCAGAGAGTGAGTGAACCAAGCAGACAACATCCCACTCCGTATTTGTGGTGCTGGCATTCTAGGGAGGACAAGACACAGACAATAGTGTGCAACAGTGTGTTTCACTGTAAAGGGATATGTGGTGACACCATGGTCAAGGGCTCCCTCTCATAGGGCCATTTGTCAGTCCCCCTTCAGGGACCAGGGCTCTATCCTGCCTGTTTTCCAGTGGCATGAGCTGGGTCAGAGCTATGGGAGGCACTGAAGCCCCATCTGTATCTTGGGAAAATGGTGCAGCCTGAAGGGCCAGGCCTCTCACTGGACTGCCCACCTGCCTCCCCCAGTGCTATCTCGACCATCCTGGCCACCTGGCTGGAGCAATACCCGCAAGATTTTGATCATCCCCCACAGTACACAAGTCTGCACGTGCTGCTGGACTATGCACAGCTCATCCTGCGTGACTCAGAGCTGGGGCACCGTGTGCAACTCCTCCTGGGACGATTGCAGCACCCGGAGCCCACTGAGGCAGAACTAGAGGGTGAGCAGGACGGGGATCAGTGCATGTGAGTGCACGGGGAGGTGAAGAGTTTGGGTCACACTCAGAAAAGCTTCCAGAACCAGGGGCGGGTCTAGGAGCAACAAGGGATCCTGATGACTAAAATGGAGGCCCAACTTCCTGAAAGTCATTCAGGAAGCAGAATTTGCGTCAAAGGTTTCCCTGAGAGTCAGAGACAAGGTTTTGTCTCTGGAAGGCACATGAAAAGTCAGGCCTGCTGCTGATATGTTCTCCTCTTGTGATTCCAGGGCCAGCGGAAGCTCCAATTCCACAACAAGAGCTTGTGCCACCTCCATCTCTGTTGCCAGATGGAGCCCCACAGCCAGAACAGGCTCGCATACCAGCTCTGGAAACCTCCAGGGAGCTCACACCAGACCCCACCGTGGCACTAGCTCCAGAGTGCCAGGGAGCTCCTACAGCTCCCGCTGCAGAACCAGCGAATGCCGCAGATTCAGATCCAGACCCCACCGCAGTCTCGGATCTACTGCAACCTTCTGGGCAGGAAATGCCTGTTGCCGAGTCCCAAGACCTTGAGCTCTTTGCAGCTCCACAGCTGGCACCTGTCCCTGGGCCAGCGCTCACAGCCCCCTCCCTTACTACACAATATGTAGTAATGTTCATCTTTCTCCTTTACCTCCACATAAGAAATTACTATTCTGTATACTATAAAATTCACTTTTAATAAAATATACTATTAACTTTTTAAGGTATTCCATAGTAACCACTTTAATTAATGCTGTGTGTCCATCACCACTGTGTCACTCTGGAACCTTTCATCCATCTGTACTCCCCAAGTCATTGCCCCCAACCGTCCAGACCTAATCCCTGGCAATCTCTTCACTCTCTGTCTTCAGGCCTGTACCTACAAAGGATGTCACATATGCATGCACTAACATAGCAACTGGCTTCTTCTTTCTTGACACTTAGCGTGAAATGTGCTTCTGACATCTTATTTTATCATAATTTTTTTTAGTTATTTGAAAGGCAGAGATCAGAGAGGGGGAGAGAGAAAGATGGATAGAGAGAGACATGTGGAGGGTGGGAGAGAGAGAGAAAGAGGTCCTCCGTCCTCTCACTCACACCAAAATGGCACAATGGCCGGGGCTGGGCCAGGCAAAGCCAGGAGCCAGGAGCTTATTCCAGGTCTAGCACGTGGGTGAAGGGGCCCATACACTTGGGCCATACTCCACTGCTTTCCTTGGAGTATTAGCATGGAGCTGGATCAGAAATGGAGCGGTAGGAACTCAAATCAAAGCCCAAATGGAATGCTGCTGGTTAAGGTAGCAGCTTAACCTGTAGTGTCACAGTGGCCAAATTTCTTTGTTTTAACCAAAATTATTTAAAAATAAAATCCCAGAGATATCCAAGTTTATATGTTAAAAATCAATCATCAACAGTAAATATATTCATAAACTCCAAGGAACAGGAAACCTCACTGCCTCTGTGTGGAGGGGATGTATTAATTCTGTTCCACCTGTGCTAGGGCATCCTTGCTCCTGTTGAGGTGATTGGGCTGGGTCAACCTGTGCCCACATGGACAGTGCCATGGGAAAAACAAGTTCCTGGTCAGTCCGCAGTGAGGATCTTATCTAGCAACAGGTACATAAGCAAACATGCATCCAAAAACATATACATGTCTGCATTTAGATCAATTTATATGAGAGAGAGATTGAGACAGAGATAAATGATGAGACAGACCGAATCTGAGAGATGCGACCAAACCACTAAGAGTGATCTGCTCGGGTACGTGGAACTTTCAAAATCTTTACTATCACCTTGATTCATTATCTCAATGTTTTCGAAAAGAAGTGCATTTTGTGGTATTACAAGGAACAATGTGTTGTATTAGCAAGTGTCCGCAATATTCACGATTTATGAAATTCAAGCTCTCAGCTCGTCTGAACTTTCAGCATTTTTGACAAAGACAAGAACTATTTCATCACTAAAGCAAGCAGACCAGTTTGACAGCAAAACAAAATAAAGGATGATGTGGTCCTTTCACTCACAAGTGTTGTCCACTCCACGAATTACTCTCCTGTCCTGTCCTCATGCTGAGGTGTAGGCCTGTTTGCCTTGCTTAGGTGGGGACACAACACGGCCATGTGCTCCACTGCCATCTCCTGTCAGCTTGCGGTGAAAACAGTTGGTTTCCTGTCCCTTGTGCACCTTCATCAGCCACACAACTCACTCAGTAGACCCTGCTGTGCAATCCTGGACTCTGCCAATTTTCCACTCCCAGAATATGCTGAAGGGCACTCATACCTTTCTGAATATCGAGTTTTTAGTATGGATGCCTAGAAGTGAAACTTCAAATTGCACACATTTCCAAAGTGACGCCTTCAGGTTTTCAGTTTCTTCCAGCAGTTGGAGCCCTGTTGGAGAAAACAGGAGCTGCAGGGACACTGACAGTAAGCCCTGAGAGTCAGAGGGAGGTGGACAAGCCAGCAGTCGTGGCTCCCACAGTGCCCGGAAAGGACAACAGGACAGGGGAAGGCCCCACTCAGCCCCTAATGAATCCTGACCCTGCTCTCAACACAGCAGACATGAGGGGAAGCAGGAGAGGCAGGACTTGCCACTCTGCCTGATTTCTCTCCCTGCTAGCAAGTAGCCATTTCTTGTCACTCAGGAAACTACACTAGGAGGAAGTCATCAAATTATGGAGAGCAATTTGAATGTGCAGGCACGAGGTCACATTCTCAGCTGCAACACCAGGACCCACGTGAACTTGTCTGAGCACAAGTGTTCATGACAAAGCATACTTGGTAGATGCTTAGAGAAATCAATGGGCAGATCACAGTCACACAGAGGATTACAGCTGAGAACAGCACTGAATTACCACCAGGCTCTTCCCGTATTGACCTTTCTCACTACCGGTGGGCCAGCCACTGACCCAGGTATTCCTTATGCTCAAACTCTGCGTGGGTGTGTCCCTGCATCTCCCAGGACTCCAAATTAGCAGGAAGACAGCATTTATCTCCCCCCATGGAGATCAGAGGAGTCCACCTGGTGTGGGACTACTTGGTGAGACCAAGATCAGCACATCCTCTCTCTGGGGCTGACAGTTTAAGAATGCTAAGTTTGCTGTGTTGTAAATTCTGGCTTCATTCAAAGACACTGAGATATAGTCTGTGTCTGCAAAGGCACACAGACTTGCTGTTATTTGAAACAATTTCATCTGCTGTAGCTCCAGCATCAGCTTTAGCGCCAGTCACAGAGCCCACCCATGGCTGGTGCCAGCTCCACAGAAAGCAGGAGCTCCAGGCACAGCCACAACATAGGAGTTAGTGCTTATTATGGGCATCAGGATCAGAGGTAGCACTCTGGCCAGATGTACCCATACTCTCAGCTCCTGGAGAAATTCTTAAAGTAGTTCCTGAACTGATATCAGTCCAATCCTGATGCGATTTCCACAATCACTCCAGTGTCATTTCCAGTACTACAGTCAATCTCAATACCAGTTCTAGCATCAACTCCAAAGTTACAAGCAGGTTCACCACCAAATCTAGCAAAACCTTCAGGGCTACAAACAACTCCAGAAGGCATTACAGTTTCTAGAGATAGAGACAGCTCTATTATCAGTTTTTGCCCAGCTCCAAAACTGGAATTACCTCAAAAACCAATCGTAGAATAACAGATAACAACAGGCCCAGACCCAGAGCTGGCTCTAGCAAGGACCGTGGCCTGAGAAGCAGATCCGCAGGCAGACCTAGAGTTGACGCAGTCTCCAGAGTTAGAAGCAGCACCAGAATTGGCTCCAGCATGACTTCCTGGATGACAGCATCCCCAGCTACCACAGTAGTAATACCGCCAGTACCAGAGTTTACGGTCAGCTCTAGACTGGAGCCATGGCCATAACCAGCTCACTCTCTCTTTCTAGAGCTTCAGCCAGCCCTGTGCATTCTCCAGATTTAAAGCTAGTTTAAGACACAAAGCTACAGCCACCTTCACCACCAGATTTTGTTTTAGGTGCTCAAATACAGTCAGCTCCAGGTCTAGCTCCAATGCAACTCCCATGTGTCTGGGTTGGCTTCAGCCAAGAGCTCGAGGAAGCTGTCTGTTTATCTACACCACCAGCTGCTGAAGTAGAACAACTCTATCACAAACTCCTGTCTATACTCTAGTGATAGCACTAAAATTTGAACCAACTCTAACCTCAATTCCAGTGTTAAGACAGAACCAGATTAAGAGGAAGACTAGTTTCAATCGCAGCCATGGCACTGACTTCTGAGCTCAAAGTGCTCATCCAGGTTCCAGCTGCAGAGGCAGAGTCAGTGGATAATACAACACTAGAGCCAGATCCACTAAATCTCTATCACCAGCATGGAGCCATTGACTGTGATGTTTAGACTGAGAACAGCACTAGCTTCAGACAGAGATTCAACTGTAGAACCATGTATGGCACCAGGTCAGGAGTAGTGCCACCTCCCACCCCAGATTCCCCACCCAGTCTGGCATCAGAGACAGCACCAGCTTTACTGCCTCTGGTAGAGTCAACACCAATTCTTCCCTTAGGTGACCCAAAGCTGCCTCTGGTACCTTTGCTACATCACCAGCTATAAAAATATAACCCACACCATTGCCATACCCGTCAAAGTTTGATGCTAGAGCTGGCTTTGGGGAGTTTACTGGCTAGGGCCAGCACTGTCTCCAGAACTGGAGCTAGCTTCATTGCTAGCTCTAGCACTAACCAAAAGGTTAGGGACATCTCTATGTTTAGCTCCTCTACCAGCTCCACAAGTAGCTTTGGCACCGAGTATCAACTAAAATAAGCTCCAAAATTGATTCTAATCATGATTCTAGTGACATGTCCATACTTAGAACTTGCAGCAGACTCAGGAAGAGCCAACTCTAGTCCTATCTGCAGTGAAAGTCATTGCCAACGACTATTCCAATCTCAGCTCCAAAGACACACTGAGCTCTGGCTCC